TAACTTTTGAAAATTGTTCCGGAAGGTCTGACACTTTTATATATATCTTAAATTAAAGCTTATGTAATATACTTTAATTTGAAAAAAAAAATTTGACCTCTGGACTTGTCTTTACTGCAAAAATGGCTACCGAATGCTATTTTCGTGTGAAAATTCTCGATTTTATTATTTATATTATATTTAACTTTATAATGCTATAACTTATTGAAAAGTTTATGGATCCACACAATTTTTTTATGAGAAATAATATTTTTTAATAAACCCTTTTTCATTCGACATACTTTATCTTAATCGAGATATTAATAAGGAACCAGCAGATCAAGTAGCTTTTGGAATAAAACACCAATTTTTTTAAAATTAAACACTATCTAAAGATTTGCATCGAAGCGTTTATTTTTGATAGTGATTTTAATCACTATCAGATATCATTATACTTGATCCAACTATGCCACGTCACTACTGTGCCGCAATCCCCCTGTGCTGGGTTTTATATATTTACTTGTATTAATTTGTGATTTAATAGTTACGTTTTCTCAACTGTTATCATATTTATATATAAATTGTAAATGGAGTTATTTCCGTAATAAAGACATTATTATTATTATTATATCTTGTGGAACCGTGCCTGATTAAATTTTATGCTTACTACTTGGAAGGATCTTAAATATTAGGTTTTCCCATGGCCTAATGTGCTCTTCTTTCGCCTATGTGCTTGTGAGTTATAAACGAAAATGATTATACTCATGTATTTCAATTTTGTTTCTAAGGAAGATGCTCTTAAGCAAAAAGAAACGCAAATAACTTCTTTGGAAAATGGAAAAGTTTATATTTCTTGATTTACTAACTTTTATTTGAAAAAATTGAGAAGTAATGTCTAAAGAACAACGGAGGTGAGTAAGAGTGTGCACAATTATCCAGTGAGGAGTTTCGAGTAAATTGATAACTTTTGATCTACTCATTATTAAAATTTTTTTTTTTAGATTTACTTTTGTATGCTTATACTAATTTTAAATTGATTAAAAGCATTTTTTTTTCAATTGCATTAATAATTTTTTGAAATATTTTAGAGATTTTAAAGTAGTCATATCTTTTATTTGCTAGTTTTATTTTAATTGCCAGTAGTAATATGTATTATTATTATCAGTTATATTTCTAATGGTTTATTGATTACAAATATTAAATATTATCACTGGGAGAGATGTCTCCTCCAAAATTGTACAGAAAAAATACAATTTATATCAATTATAACAAATTTCATCAATTTAATTTATCATTTAAAGTTTTATAAATTCAAATCTGTGTTTCAGTTATCAAAAAAAAATAAGTCAATTTTCTGGAGAGACAAAAATTAAAAATTTTGAGTGGGTTTTATGCAAATCGACAATTCCAAAGTGGAAAAAATAATAACTTACAGAAAAATAACACATTTAATTTTTTGTTTATCAGTATATAATAGATAATACCCTTCTCTATACATATTATCAATATTCAAGAAATTTATTATAGTAAGTTTTTAGCATTTAGAAAAATTTCACGAAACTATAAATTAAGTATAAATTTTATTATTAACTATAAATTAAGTATAAATTATATTATAACAAAAAAATTAAGTAAAAATATCAAAATAATGAGTAAACAAAAAAAAAATTAAATTATTCATTTTAAAAATGATTTCATAGAACAATTTTCTAAGAAAAAATTCATTTTTTTCTAAAAATATGGAAGGTAATCAAATAAAGGTGATTGATCGGTCGTTGTTGTTAGCTTGTTGGGTTTTATTAGTGGAGCTTCCAAATGTAAAAAATCTAAATCCGCTAAGAAAGGTTCACTTGGCTCAATGTTTTGTGAAGGTAGTATTATGTTATTAGATGGCTCAACATTTATCATAACAGGTTTAGAATGTCCTTCAGAATATGATAAATCTATATCTGCTAAAAATGGTTCATTTAGCTCAATGTTAAGTGACGGTAGTAGCATGTCATTAGATAGCTCAAAATTTGTTGTAACAGGTTTAGAGAGGCCTTCAGAATATGATAAATCTATATCCGCTAAAAAAGATTCACTTGACTCAATGTTTTGTGAAGGTAGTATTATGTTATTAGATGGCTCAACATTTATTGTAACAGGTTCAGAATGTCCTTTAGAGTAAGATAAATCTATATTTGCTAAAAATGATTTATTTGGCTTAATATCTTGTGACGGTAATATTATGTTATTATATGGCTCAACATTTGTCATAACAGGTTTAGAATGTTCTTTAGAAAATGATAAATCTATATCCTCTAAAAATGATCCATTTGGTTCAATGTTCCGGGATGGTAATAACATGTCATTAGATGGTTCAACATTTGACGCTACAGGTTGAGATTGTCTTTCAAAATGCGATAAATCTATATCCTCTAAAAATGATCCATTTGGTTCAATGTTCCGGGATGGTAGTAGCATTCCATTAGATAGCTCAACATTTGTTGTAACAGGTTTAGAGAGTCCTTCAGAATATGATAAATCTATATCTGCTAAAAATGGTTCATTTAGCTCAATGTTACGTGACGGTAGTATTATGTTATTAGATGGTTCAACATTTGTCATAACAGGTTTAGAATGTCCTTCAGAATATAATAAATCTATATCTGCCAAAAATGGTCCATTTGGTTCAATGTTCTGAAATGGTAGTAGCATGTCATTAGATAGCTCAACAATTGTTGTAACAGGTTTATCTATATCCGCTAAAAAGGGTTCACTTGGTTCAATGTTTCGTGAAGGTAATAACATGTCATTAGATGGTTCAACATTTGACGCTACAGGTTGAGATTGTCTTTCAAAATGCGATAAATCTATATCCGCTAAAAATGATCTCTTTGGTTCCTTGTATCTTGATGGTAGCAGTATATCATCAAATGACTCAATATTTGTCGTAATAGGTTCAGAATGTACTTCAGAGTATGATAAATCTATATCCTGTAAAAATGGTTCATTTGATTCAATGTTTCGGGATTGTAAACGCATGTCATTAGATTGTTCAACAATCGTCGTAATAGGTTGAGATTGTCTTTCAAAATGCGATAAATCTATATCTGCTAAAAACGATCTTTTTGGTTCTTCATATCGCGACGGTAATAATACATCGTTTAATGGTTCAACATTTGTTTTGATAGGTTTAGAATGTCCTTCAGAATATAATAAATCTATATCCGGTAAAAGTGGTCCATTTGATTCAATGTTACGGGATGGTAGATGTATATCATTAGATTGGTCAACATTTGTCGTAACAGGTTGAGATTGTTTTTCAAAATGCGATAAATCTATATCCGCTAAAAACGATCTTTTTGGTTCTTCATATCGTGACGGTAATAATATATCGTTGAATGGCTCATAATTTGTTGTAACAGGTTTAGTGTGTCCTTCAGAATATAATAAATCTATATCTGGTAAAAATGGTCTATTTAGTACAATGTTCCGGGATGGTAGTAGCATATCATTAGATGGCTCATCATTTATAGTAACAGTATCAGATTGTCCTTCAAAATGCGATAAATCTATATCCGCTAAAAATGATCTCTTTGGTTCATCATATCGTGATGGTAACAACATATCGTTAGATGGCTCATCGTTTGTTATTATAGGTTTAGATTTTTTATTAGTAATTGATAAATCTAAATTCACGGGTGATTTTATGTATGGTGATGGTAAAATATTGTCAGATGACTCGACGTTTATAGCCTTATTTGATATAAGGGGTTTTAATTGTATTTTATTACGTGATAAATTGACATCATCTACAAATTTTTTGTTTGTTTTAAAGTATAGTGGCGATTGTATGTCATCAGATAACTTAGCGCTAGTTGTAATTGACTTATATGATTCTAGAGGTTTAAATGATATTTTATTACGCGGAAAATCTATGTCCTGAAAAAGCGATCTACTAGGTGTAAAATATTGTGAAGCGTAAACATTGTTAGAGAAGTTTATATCTGTTGTAAGTGATCTTTCCGATGTAAAGGGTTTAGATTGCATATTTTCATGTGGTACATCTACGTTTCCTAAAAATGGTTTACTTTGTATAAAATTCTGTGATTTTTCTTGATTGACGTCTGGTTTTTTAAATTTTAGATCAGATGGTGGTACAAATGCAGAAATCACCGGACCATTATTTGTTAAAATTTGTTTATTTGGCTTAAAGTATTTTGGTTGTTCTACGTTTTCTGATAGTTTAACGTTTGTGGGAATAAATCTTTCCGATATACTTGGTTTTCTTTGTTCTTTGTTACGCGATAAGTCTTCATTTGGTAAACATGGTTTACTTGTTGTAAAGTTTCGTGATTTTACTTGACTTAAATTAGGTTTGCTTAATTTTAAACCAGATGTTGGCGCAGTGAGAATTGTAATTGGTATTTCATTTTGTGATAAATCTTTATTATCTAAAATTTGTTTGTTTTGTTTAAAATACCTTGGTTGTTCAATTTTTTCAGAAAGAATTGAGTTCATCGAAAATGATCTTGTAGATGTATTGGATTTAGTTGGTACTTTGTTATGTGATAAATTTACTAATTTTGGTTCGCCCTCTAACGGCTTCTTATTAAGTGACGTTGAAATTATATTAGGGGGATAATTTTCTTTATTGAGTAGAGATTCTGATTCAAACCAGTCCATTTTTTCTGGTAGTTTTGAAATAAGCTGTGAAAAACAAAATAATTTTGTTAATTAATATTTTTATAATTGTTTCAGAATAATTTTGCAATGTGTAAAATTATAAATTCAAAAATTCAAAAATTTATTTTTTTATTTTTTTACTTTAGGATTATTATTTATTTGGGGTATTTTTAATCCAGATGGCGGCGCAAATGTAGATAATGCCTGTTTTTTATTATGTGATAATTTCATGACTGGTAAAGTAGATCTATTCAATGAAATGTATGATTCACTGTTAGGATGATTTATTTTACTATTAAACGATCTGTCTCTTGAACAAGATTTAGATTCTAATTTATCATTAGATAAGTGTAATGATTTTACTTCCTTATCAAATAAATCTATTGGATGTACTTCATTATCAGATACCTCTGATGAGAGAGAGCTTTCTTTATTATATGAAGCTTCTTCATGATGTGAAACATTTAAAAACTTTTCTGAAGTTAATGTTTCATGTAAGTTCAGATTTTCCTGTAATAAGAAAATCAGATATAAAAAGGAAAAATTATTTTAGTTAAACATTTCGATTAATATTATCTTAAATGAACTAAAAAATTTAATTAATTTAATAGTAAATTTTTATCACTTACTGATGTAGAACTTTCTTGTGATAAAAATGATAGAAACATTTTTGAACATATTTCTACTTTTTCCCAACACAATTTTATACCACCCAGAGTGTTCAATTCGATTTCAGTAAACTTATTACAAATATATTTACTCATATCATTAGTTACTTGAGCTGGGGTCATAGTGTTACTAAATAAATGTACCTTGTAACCATTTAAAATTTCTTTATATTTTAAATTAAATTGTCCTGTGAAATAATTTAAATTTTAGCTCTACCTTATTAAAGTAGTATAATTTTTAAACTTTACCAGTTATTCCTGTAACTTGAGATGCTAGTTTATATTTTTTCAAACAAGATAGTAAACTTGAATGCGTTATTTTTTTCTTAGGAGATCCAAATTTTTTTAAAGCTGTTAAAATTTGTGCTAATGCCTGTAAAATATTTATATTAAGTAATTTTCATTATAATAATAAATCAATATGCTAGAAAAACGGGGTAAGTAATTTTAACAAATAAAGCAATTTAATTTTACTAATAAGATAATGTAATACTTCTTTTAATGAAAATTAGTACAATAGAAAGTCGTACTATAATTGTCTTTATAGTTTTATACAATATTTATTAACAAATTTATTGATTTTTATTTTATAATAAATAATGTTAGTATATAATGTTATATTACGAGTAATAAATTAAAAATATATTTAGAATAATATAAGATAACTTAAAGTTTAATATGACATTTTATCTTAGCGGAAAATAAAAAAAAACCGTGCGTGTTAGGAGTTTGCACCAATGAAGTGAAACTTCATTTAGAGTTAATCAACTCATAGAATATTAGGTTTATATAGGGATTAAATAAAAACATACACCAAAAATTTTTATTTTTAACTTAAATTATATTCATTAATTATTATTATTAATTTTNTGAAATTATATTCATTTATTATTATTATTAATTTTCTTATTCTATTGCCATGAAAGATATAATGAATATTGATATCTAAAATAACTTATGTAAGTTTTTGATTGGATGTTATCAAGGGTATCACACAAAGATATCGTGTGAAAATTAAATCTATTGTGGTCCTTTAAAATGTTTTTTTAAAAAAACAATTGCACAAATAAAATTATATGATGCATTTTAATAACTTTAATTTCATTTTCGTAAATAAAGTGTTAAAGTATAATATAAAATATACTTGATTGTAGACTATCATTATTTATCAATTAAGTATAAAAAGGTAAACGGTATATCATAAGCTACTCAATTATTCGAAAAATAAATATAATATTGGAAAAATTTAATTTAATTTCTTTTGTAGTATAATTATTAACACATGTACTAAATATCACATATATATGAATAAAGCCATAAATCATCTAAGGAATGTTTCCCTTTTAGGGTAATAAAAATAACTATTTATCAACACATGTTTCAAACCAGTCCCCTACAATTCATTAACTACGCCCACGGCAGGGTTTCTATCACAATTAACCAATCACAAATAATTATCCAACATCTTAGGAATTTCAATAGAGATCGCTGGCTTACTTCATCCGGCGTATAAAAAGCCATTTTTCTCGTAAAAAGACCTCTCTCTTCTTTTGGACTTCTCTGGACTTCTTTTGACGATTTTCTGCGGCAGCGACTGCAACGACTACCCTCTAAATATTCTCTTACATGGAATCTGCGTCAGTATAAGTAAATATTTTGTCCCTGTGACTTAGTTTTTTTTATATGTATCATCCTAAGTGGTGAACATTGTCTTAGATGATTTATTAATATTTTACACAGGAACAAGTTTTTATTTATTTTATTATCACCTAATGTTCTCACGACAAATAGACATTATCTCTATTTTTTTATAAAGGTTTTAAATATTATTGTGCCCTTCATTTCTGGACAGCCTCAAATGTGCCGAAAAGAGTGAAGAAGCGTAATTTTATTTATACAGGCATAATAGCCTTATACATTATCGTATATTCATAATAAAGCTTATTGTGCCCTACATTTATGAACAGCCTTAAATGTGCCGAACTAAATGAAGAAGCATAATTTGTGATTAGAATTAACTAGTTTTAGTAGTAGCACTTTATGCCTGTGTACCCGCCAGCCTTAAGGGACCATGCCAATTACCTTTCGGTAACGTGTAGGCAGTTGACGTAAAGGATAATAAAAGGTGTATTGAAATAATATTTTAAATATATTAACGAGGTAACTGTGTCCGCGCCAGCCAAGGCTTTACGCTGAGAAACGCTGGGCCACCACAGTCTTGTTAATTATATTTTGAATATAGATAGACATATTCTTATAATTATATTTTGGCTAGTTCAGAGTAAATTTTAAGAATATCGATATCGACTGTAGGGAATTCATCGAAAATATTATTAGTAAAAACATAGTATAATATAAAAGGAATTTAAAATAAAAGAAAGTGACAAAATTATAATAGACGCAGGTCCCATTGTAGAGAATCCCCTTTTTTAAGTTTTATATACACAGAGATACTAATTTATCGAAATAAACGCAAGACAGTATAAACGACTGTTAACACTGAAAGAAGAAATCACCATAAAACCAACTCAATCAATTACTAAAGGAAATAAAGGTAATTGCGAATATTTATTTGCATGTCTTACTTCTAAAAAAAATCACGTAATAAACAAAAAATAGGAATAAATGAGGTAGGGATATTTTATTATTTAATAAATAAATAAAGTCCGACCCCGAGATACGACTCCATTCTTACCATCTTCAACTCACTCATTCTCTTTGCCTCNTCTTACCATCTTCAACTCACTCATTCTCTTCTCTCTCCCTCTATCTATTCTTTATTCATTCATTTTCTCGTCTTTTTTTTTGTTTATTACACTTTTAATTAAATATAATTCTTGATTTATCAGCTAATCATTACTTTTTAAAATCATCCCTTATAACGTATAGGTGTGTCAATTTTATTTAGTCTAAAAAGAATAACATTCAAAGTACTGGTCCAAAAAATTTATTATTCTTATTTTTAGACTTAGGCGGGAGATAAGTATGGCCTCAAAATGATTAGTGATAAAAATAGCAGCACCTACTCCTCTCCACAATCATTGCTACAAATAGTTAATAACTTCTGAAACACCTGTCTCAAAATTTTTATTGACCTGTCATTTTCTTAATTAGATTATTTCCTATTTTATAAGCTAGTAAAATATATATGCTTTCGTTTAAAAAAATAAAGTTGACACACCTATACGTTATAAGGGATGATTCTAAAAAGTAATGATTAGCTGATAAATCAAAAATTATAAGTAATTAAAAGATATTAAATTTAATTTTTCCAATATTGTATTTATTTTGCGAGTAATCGAGTAGCTTATAATAAATCGTTCACTATACATTCCACGTAAATGTGGTAGATTTCTTAATCATTTTATTTGAAATCATATTTTTGAAAATAAAATAAATATATCATCCGTAAAAAAAAGGGTACTAGTTACAACTTTAAAATTGATGAATTTTAACGACAGATAATATTAGAAAACATATACATTCGAAATTTTCATTGTATTCTTACTTAGGGGTTCGTTTGGTTTCAGGAGAACCGCGATAGAGCTTATAAAAGATTCGCCTGCATAGCACAGTTAAAATTTTAATCTTAAGAAACTTATTAAAATATACTCAAAACGTGGCGTTCATCTAAATCTTCAATTTCGATTATCTATCTGCCACAACATTCATTGACCTATTTACTTATGCAGTTTTACTACAGGTTATTATTAATATGTTTAACGATTTAAGATTTAAAATAAGTGTTGCTCGTAATTTATTCATACTTACAAGAATTGAAAAAATTAAAATGATTTGCTTCATCTTCATTTTTAGAAATAATGATAAAAATTGAAATGTTTTAATTAATTGATTTGCTAAAGTAGTTTACAAACTGAATGTTTTTTTATAATTGGTAATTCTTTAAATATGATACTCCAGATATAGATTTGATATTTTTTTTCATAATTTATGTGTTTATTTACTAACAATTAAATGTAATTACATATAAATTATACTGTGATTGCAAATAAATTATTTATTTAAGCTTTAAATTTAAATTTTATGATATTTTTCTACGCTTGGTGTTTTTAATGAAAATTGTATGACACATTATTGATCTACAATTATTTTATTTATACATTTAAAATTTTATTTGCAATTCATGATATACAATGTCTTCTTATAAAACTTGCGTAGTTGCTTGTTCTTAAATATTTACTATCTAATAAGTATCATGAAGATATGAACTATAATAACAATAATAAGTATGGTTTTTTATAAGTTTATCATTCGTTTATTTTTAATTATAATTAATTTAAATTTAAATTTACGGTCAATTGAAATATAACAAAATACATAATTTAGATAAATATACTTACATTACTTGTTGAAAACAATATTTTTTCTAATAATATTACATTACCCTGTTAACTAATCAATTATTAAAATTTATTATTCGATGGCTATTGCTACTCGTTTAAAGCTTTTCTATTATTTGAATAATGTTATGTGAAAAACAAATTTCGAAAAATTTTTATGTTAAACAAATAGAATCGTTATGAATAAAAACATACTTAAATATGCTGAATATGAAAGGCAGAATACGGTATCTGTAAATTTTTAATTCAGTCATAGTTTTGAACTAAAATTAAATTACGAGTCATAAGAAATAAAAATTAAAAATTTTTAGTCTACCTTAGTATATTAATGACTGCATAGCAGCATTTTTTTAATTTTAAATACAATTTTTTTTAATAAAAAAAAATTAAAGTTTTTGGGTGTTTTTCGTAAACAAAAAATATAAGTTTATAATAATTTAAATAAAAAAACAAAGTTCTTGTAGGAGAGAATTTGGTTTTCTTTAGACTTTTAAGAAACTTATAAATAATCATTTTGGAAAACTTAAAGTCTAAGTTTAAAATAAAACAAACCCAGCACAGGGGGGTTGCGGCACAGTGTAACGTAGCTAGTTGGATCAAGTATAATGATCAAAACTTGAAACATTGTATAAAAAATAGAACTTCTTCAACTTAACTTTTGAATATATTCCGAAAACACTGCATCCTTTAAACATATGTTAAATTATAGCCTACATTATGTGCTATAAGATATTTCCTGACAACTTATCTTCTTTATGCAAATGTCTGCCGTATTTAAAAGACATGTTATTTTTGTGTTCAAATTTTATTTTATTTTTTATTCATTTAAACTAAGCTACGTCCCCACTGTGCTACCATTTTTTTTTTATTAACTTTGATGATTGTTTTAACCATGAAAACAAAATAAAGTTTAAAATTTTTTAGCTTCGATGCGAAGCTGAGAAGGTATTAGTTTTACTAAGATGTGTTTATTTTTATTTTTATTTTTTTTTGTGTGTCTGTTACCACTTTTTCTCAGCTCTCACCGAACCGATTTCTTTCAATGATACGTCAAAAGATCACAAATCGTATCTAATCGAAGACATTACTCTCAAAAATTTTAAAAATTTCCCTCGTTCCCCATAAATGGGGAAAACCTCAAAAAAAATTACAAATTTAAAAATCGCTATTTTTCGAAATTTTTTCAATTTTTTTTACTTAAAATTGCCATAACTTTTTTAAAAAGAACCAAATCAATATAATTTTTTATATAGATGCACGATTTCGTTACCTTTCATTTGGTATATTTTTTTTTATATCTGACTCTTTACCTGCCCACAGGGGAGGATTCNATATTACTCTCAAAAATTTTAAAAATTTCCCTCGTTCCCCGTAAATGGGGGAAACCTCAAAAAAAAAATTACAACTTTAAAAATCGCTATTTTTCGAAATTTTTTCAATTTTTTTTACTTAAAATTGCCATAACTTTTTTAAAAAGAACCAAATAAATATAATTTTTTATATAGATGCACGATTTCGTTACCTTTCATTTGGTATATATTTTTTATATCTGACTCTTTACCTGCCCACAGGGGAGGATTCAAAATGACAACTTTTTCACAAAAAATTAATTTTTTCAACTTAATTTTTGAAAATGTTCCGGAAAGTCTGACACTTTTATATATATTAAATTAAAGCTAATGTAATATACTTTATTATGGAAAAAAAAATTTGGACTTTATTTTGTCTTCATGGTGAAAATGGCTACCAAATGCTATTTTTGTGTGAATATTCTCGATTTTAATTTTTACATTTCTAACTTTATAATGTTATAACTTTTTGAAAAATGTATGGATTAATACAATTTTTTCATGAGATGTAGTATTTATATACATCTATCATTCGACATACTTTATTTTAATCTGGATATTAATAAGGAAATAGCAGATTATGTAGCTTTTGGAATAATCCACCAATTTTTTAAAACTAAACACTAACTAAAGATTTGTATCGAAGCATTTTTTTTTTGATAGTGATTTTAATCACTGTCAGATATCATTATAATTTATCCAACTAGCTACGTTACACTGTGCCGCGACCCACCTGTGCTGGGTTTTTCTTTTTAACTCAATGACACTTAATTTTATTTATGAATCTCTTATAATTAATAGGATTATAACAAATTTAATAGAACAATTTTCATAGATTTATGAAGTTTACTTAATCGTGTTGAAAAATTAGATCTTGATGAAATTAAAAATAAAAACATTTACGAAAATAACATCTTTAAGTCTATATAGTACTTTAGCTATAAATTTTGTTAGAGTTCAGTAGCATATTTAGGATTTTTTTATGTTAGGTTCAGATAATTTCTAGTACATAGAGTAGTTAGAAACATCATCTCTACATCATCTATCAACTGTATAATTTTATCATAATGCTCAGGTCCTAAGAACCGGAGACGTTTCTACAATTTGTGAGATCCAGAACATAAATAGTATCTGATATTTTCCGCATGAAGTTAATTCCACTACCATAAGTCGGTATCTCACTCATTTAAAAATACGTAAAGTATTTTTACCTATCAAATTTACCAGTACTTTACCTAACATATATTTATATATAAATAATTTATTTAGTTCTATATAACAGATTATTCGCTATAATAACAGAATCAATTCGGATTATGAATTGATCAAAATGAACTCAACTCTAGCTTATACTGCACAGGTATTTCTTACTTGATTTCATTATGCTATTAATAAATTGTCTAATAAAAATTTGAAATATATATGTAATATATATAAATCGATGTATTATAAGTGAAATTAAGATGTTTTAATGGGCGAGTGAAGGGCCCAAATGAAGTGTCTGAAGCGATTTTAAAATTTGTTAATTTGGATATTTTAAAAAATTTTTGTGTATAAAACTGTCATAACTTTTTTGAAAATAGACGAATCAAAACAAATTTTTCTATAAAGGTGTTTCATTTTCATTATGTGTATTTTTTCCCCTGAACCTTTGCCTGCTATTAGATGGGGATTGAAAATAGTAACTATTGAATTAAAAGTTAACCTTTACAATTTTAACTTTTGAAAATATTCTGGAAATACTTCGTACTTAATTTATATGTTTAATTAAAATTTATGTTACACACTATAAGTTGAAAAAAAAACTATCCCGATACCTTATCTACTATATGCAAATGGCTGCCGTAATTAAAAAAAATAGCATGTAGGATAGAGGGGAGCATTATCTTCCCGCTACAGTAATTTTATTTTAACGGATTGTTCAGTTCGAATGTGCATTATAAATGATATGCTACTGTAAGTTAATATATTTATCCTACTTTAATCTTTTTTAATATTATTGTTGTATAAAAATATACATTACATATTGAAATATGTATAAAATATTCTTTTAGCATGACATGTTAAAAGAAGATTCATTGTATCTATGATAATACTTATAAAATGTACTAAAATTATTTTAAGAAATATTCCTAAAAAATCTATTATAAAAAATTTTAAGTTGAGTAATATTAAAATAATAAATGTACATTATATTGTTGACATTTTGCATATGATTTTCTGGAAATATTTTGTAATCATTTATTTTAAAATATTCCATACTTTATATTTTCCTACTATTGTTAAAACATTGTAATCTTAATATTGTTATTCGACTATTTTGATAACTTAAAAACAATAATAAATGTACAATATTTCAATATAATGATATTTTATGATATGATTATCAGACTTCTATTTGGGTATCCAAGAATACATTATTTTTTGAACTCCGAATGGAATACTTTATAGAGAATTCATGAATAATAAATTATCAAATTAAAATTCAGGAAAATCTAAATCGACTAAAATAAATGGATCATTTTAATAAAATTTATATATTTAGTAGGAGGTAATAATACCTCTTACAAACAAACAATACTTTAAGTATACACATGTGGCTCATAAATTAAAATTGTTGAAAAATATAAAATAAGCTTCTTTGGTGAGTATAGATTGCTTAACTTATATGCCAATGAATATAAAAAAATATCCTAGTAAATATTGTAGTATGAAAGGTTAATTCGAATTAACAAAATTAAAAACAGATTTTCTATGTTGCGACCTTTGCAAGATCACTATATTGATAACCATAAAATTATAACACATCTCTCATATATTTTACATAATATCCTTTTTATATGTTGTTAGATACTAAAAATATCAATCTACATATTAAATAACAAATAGTATTTATATTCTATGAAAACTGCTTTATATATTGTTTTAATACACAAATTAACAATTAACAATACAAAATTTTCCACACAAGAAAGTACAGAATCCTAGTATTTAGCAGTGAACCAATTTAAAAAGTTAAGTATAATAACATTTTTCTAGTTTTTATTAGTAGATAATAAAAACTAGAAATTAAAGAAAAGGAAATATAAAAAAACCCAGCACAGGGGGGACGCGGCACAGTGGTGACGTGGCATAGTTGGATCAAGTATAATGATTAAAATCACTATCAAAAATAAACGCTTTGATGCAAATCTTTAGATAGTGTTTAATTTTAAAAAATTGGTGTATTATTCCAAAGGCTACATGATCTGCTAGTTCCTTATTAATATCTTGATTAAGATAAAGTATGTCGAACGAAAGAGGGATTATTAAAAAATATTATTTCTCATAAAAAAATTGTATTGATCCATACACTTAAAATCATTCATTTTTAATGTTTTCAAAGTATTTATTGACGAATTAAGTTTGATATGATAGGTTTCAATTACAAAATTAAATAATTTTACTTTGTAATTTAACAATTTTTTTACTCTATTTGTGTGTGCTACTACTAGACTATAATATTCCAAATTTGTTGGTAACATGTTGCTATATAAATCATTTCTAAAAAAAATTATTGTTAGTTTCTCCTGAATTAAGTAAATAATTAAAATTAATTAAGTTCTGAATATTTAAATTGCAAAATCTTTTTAAACACTAAAAGTTATTTGGAAATGATTAACGTTACTTCGATTTAAATTATCTATTACGATAAAAATGCAAAAAAATATTGAGCTATTCTGATAAATTTACTATAAATAGTATTTATAAAACTTCCTAACTGCATATTAATCTTAACGATACAATTTATTTAATTCTCATAAAATTTTCTATTCAATGATGTCAATTTAAACTTGCCAATTTTTATTTTTATAATATCTCCGTAAAAACTACAATATTATATTATTGAATATCAATTTCATACTAAATTTAATTACTATAATTATTATGTATTCATATATTATAATTATAAATCGGGATAAAGTTAAGGGAATAAGAGTTATGGTTGCTTTTGAAATAATCTACCAACCTCTTAAAATTAAACACTATCTACAGATTTGCATCGAAGCGTTTCTAATGATAGTGTTTTTAATCACTGTCAGATATCATCTATACGTGTCCCATCTATGCCTCGTCTACACTGTGCCGCGACCCCACTATGCTACCGTTTTTTTATCTTTAACTTTGTTAAAACTATTGAAATTTATGAAAAATTTTATTTATAACTTTTCTTAGCTTTATATCAAGATAATTATTTAACTATGCCTCACGCAATATTTTTAAAGGCATAACACACATCATAATTTTATTATTTTTTATAATTTTCAAAGAAAAATTGTTTCCATCTACTCTCTTTATAATATTATCAAATTAAGTTTTTTAAATGGAAACATATATGTTTAACTAACTTAAAATATTAAATGGTTCAGAACAACTTATAACACAGTATTTTAAAAATATTAGTAACTTTATACTAGAGTGAGACGAGTATTATCGTTTATAAAAGTCTTGGAAATAAAAATAAAAAACCCACACAGTCGTTATATTAGTGTGTTAATAATGTCTAAGGTACTGATTCAAAAGTTATTAATTAAAATCTAATTTTGTAATTTTTAAGTTAGTTAAACAAAAATGTTTGCCATTAAATAATTAAGTTAACTCATTTTTAAAGGAATATAGAGAAAATTTTTATTTGAAAGTTATGAAACATAGGATACTATTAACTTTACTATTTTATACTTTTAAAGATACTGTATGAAGTGTAAGAACATTTATAATTATGTTCTTACCAATTATATTACCCACGTTTTATTTCCATTTACTTAATTCGTAATACATAATAATTAGCATAGAGGGAGATGCTGATGTGACAATTCTACTCGTCTGTAGCCCGAAGCTACTGACGTCGAACTAACAAAGGGCAGTTGTGTTTGGGTGGCCGTTATAGACATAGTTTTCAATATTATTACTTTCGTCTTATTTATATAATTTATAACTTAACTTGTTTTATTCAACGACCCGTCTATCGCCAATTGTCATCATAGCCAACCAACTCCGTCTCACTTGGACATTAGTAACCAACTGTACTAGGATTCAGGTCAGTCGTATTGTACATTACATATAACTTATATTTACTGAACATCTAGAATATAACTTTATTTTGTCGTTGAAATAAAACAATACTCTAATTTTATTTAATAATCTATCCCCTGTAATTAAGGTACACAATTGCCTGTGTCTCCTTCAGGTAATTAAAACTCATTTAAGAAGATAGGGACGATATTTGGGCAGACGTCGGGTAGCTTCCGATCCTTGGTTTTGACGAATTAAACTTTTTAAATTTGACTATTAAACTAGTCCCCACAAAAGCGTAGTTAATCAATCATTACATAAAAAAATTCAGATTGTGTATCCTGTAAACGATAAAATATCTGATTAAACAATAAGTGATTTTTTCTTTTCAAGAAATATGCTCTAGATTATAATATCTTTTAAAAACAAAACACGATATTTTAAAATAATCTTGTACATTATTGAAAAATAATGGAGAGATTTCTATGTTTTATATTATATCAATAATTAAGAGTGACGTAGCACCAGGTATCTCACAAAATAGTTTAATTAGTATAGTAATTAATTTATTGAAATCTTTTTTTTCAAATTCAACTCTCGTTGAAAATGATCTGCCTAACAAGATTTTAGAATTATTAATGAATTAATCTTATTTCATAAAACAATATAAGAATAATTATATTTTTAACAAATAATTTGTAATTTAAGTATAGATTACCTAATTCAAATTTGTACAGTTTTAAACTTAAAACTATGAAAATAAATTAAGTATAAAATTAATTTTTAAAATTGATGAAGATTATAATGTATAAAATATAAATTATGCTGTCATTAATTTTCTATAATAATTAATTTTTTTCATTAAATTAAGAAAGGTAATCAAATATAGGCGATCGTTCAATCGTTGTTGTTGGTTTGTTGGATTTTATCACAGGCGCTTCAAAATGTGATAAATCTATATCCGCTAATAATGATCTTTTTGGTTCTTCATATCGTGATGGTAACAACATATCGGTTGGATCAACATTTGGTGTTATAGGCTCAGATTGTCCATTAATAAATGATAAATCTAAAGTCGCTGGAGATGGTTCACATAAATTCATGTATCGTGATGGTAAAATGTCGTCAGATGGCTCGACGTTAGTTGTTTTATTTGATGTAAGTGGTTTTAATTGTATTTTATTACTTGCTAAATTTACATTTGTTCCATACTTTTTGTTTGTAGAAAAGTATCGTAGCGGTTTTTTGTCATCAGATACCTTAAAGTTAGTTGTAAATGACTTATCTGATTCTAAAGGTTTATATGATACTTGATTACTCGGAAAATCTATGTCTTGAAAAAATGATCTACTAGGTGTAAAGTATTGAGATGGGTACACATCGTTAGAGAAGCTGAACTCTGTTGCAACTGATTTTTCCGATGTAGTGTGCTTAGATTGAAAATTTTCACGTGATACACCTACGTTTTCTAAAAATGGTTTACTTGGTATAAAATTCCGTGATTTTTCTTGATTGACGTCTGGTTTTTTAAATTTTAGATCAGATGGTGGTACAAATGCAGAAATCACCGGACCATTATTTGTTAAAATTTGTTTATTTGGCTTAAAGTATTTTGGTTGTTCTACGTTTTCTGATAGTTTAACGTTTGTGGGAATAAANATGTATTTTGGTTCAACGTTTTCTGATATTTTAACCTTTGTGGGAATAAATTTTTCCGATATACTTGGTTTTCTTTGTTCTTTATTACGCGATAAGTCTTCATTTAGTAAATATGGTTTATTTGCTGTAAAGTTTTGTGGTTTTACTTGATTTACAATAGGTTTGCTTAATTTTAAACCAGATGTTGGCGCAGTGAGAACAGTATTCGGTACTTTATTATGTGATAAATCTCTATTATCTAAAATTTGTTTGTTTTCTTTAAAATTCCTTGGTTGTTCAACGTTTTCAGATAGTTTTGGGTTCATTGAAAATGATCTAGTACGCGTATTGGATTTGTTATGTGATAAATTTACTAATTTCGGTTCACTTTCTATCGGTTTTTTATTATGAGACGTTGAAATTATGTTAGGGGTATAATTTTCTTTATTGTGTAGAGATTCTGATTCAAACCAGTCCATTTTTTTTTGTAGTTTTGAAATAAGCTATGATAAACGAAATTATGAATAATATTTTTATAATTGTTTAAAATAATTTCGAATCGGGTAAAATTGTAAATTTAAAAATTGATAGTTTTTACTTACTGATGGTTGGCTTTCTTCTGATAAAAGCGATAAAAATATATTTGAACATATTTTTACTTTTTTCATGCATTGATTTTTATTATTAAATTTATTACAAATATAATCACCAATATTGCTTGTGACTTGATCCGGAGTCATGGAATTGGTAAATATATGCACTTTGTAACTGTTTAACATTTCATTAAATGAATATTTGAATTTTCCTGTTAATTAAAGTAAATTTATTTTGATGTTTTTAATTGATGTCAACGTAAGAGTGTATGTTCAACATTTACCAGTATCTCCTGTAACTATAGATGCTAATTTGTGTTCATTCAAACAAACCATTAAACTAGACTTTGCTGCTCTTTTTTGTGGCAATTGTAATGCTTTTAAAGTTGATACAATTTTTGCAAATGTCTGTAATAAGAAATAATAAACAGTATTAGAATGCTAATATTTTATAAAAACTCCTGTGAAAAATAATACACTTTTGTTTTCCTCTATATTAATAAGACATTTTAACAATTAAAAATATTTTAATTTAAATAGTTGTATTTAAATAATTTAAGTATATTCAGTTACTAGTAGATGTCAATTTTTTTACTTACAAGGATTGAAAAAATGAAAAAAATGTTGCACTTCATTGTTTCTGTTTATGATATTTTCAAGTTACAATTATTGAATTTAATTTTTTTTTAATTTTAAATTACTTGAGTCGTATTATAAATAATTAAGAATTGTAAATTGCATATGATTTACTTTTTTTGTAACAGTGTTATTTTATATAATTTGTTGTTGAAATTACTTCATGAACTTATAAATTATAGCACATCGAAAACTTAAATATGGATTTAAAAACATGTTTTTACTGATTTCTTTACTGATGATTTCATAATTTATGTGTTTATTTGTTAGAATTAAAATCAAATAGTAAATAAATTATAAATTCCATTGCATACTTGTTATTCACATTATTCCTTTTTTTAGTCTAAAAATCTATTTATTTTTCAATTTTTTAATGAAATGAATACCCAAGAATAATTATTGACTTATAAATAAATTAAGTATTTAATACAAGGTGACCTACAAGTGTTATGTTATATTTTTTTCTAAACATTTTTAGACTAATAATGACTAAATTAATCTTGTTGAAAGAAATTATTAAAAATGTCTTTAAATTTTCAAGAAACTTTTAATGAATTTACAACGTATAAGCTGTCTTAATTATTATTTATTTTATTAAAATCTAGATCTATGTCTCGGTATTAACCTCTCCGCACTGAACTGAACTACACTACGATTCGATTAAGTTCGTTCTTTTACTTAAAACAAAAATTGATCTGATTCTAGTTGGTTTTAATAAAATTACTAGCCTTTTTTGTAGCTTTTTAAAAAAAATTATCGGTTTAATTCTAGTTTGTTCTCAAATTAAGAAAATGGACTATGATTATTATTCAAAAACTATAATATATTATTAATCACAATAAAATCCCACTCATAAAATATTTAAAAAAGGCATAATTTTTTAGTTGTAATCGAATTTCGATAGTGAACATTCTTAAAAATCACTAAAAGTTAGTACAATAGATCACACTCAATTTAAATTCTTTAAAATAGTGAACCACGTCATGACAAAATTTATAGAAATCCTGATTAACAGAATATAGTTTATTGTTTTCTTATAACTGACAATAATTAAATTTGTTATATGACTTCAAAATCTTTTTTGCAAATTTTAGACAAAATTGGTTTCTTTTATTGACTATAATTATGTCTAGACATTTAAAGCTGTTATGGCACTTCTAAAATACTACGACTTAAAACCGAGATTTTAAAAAATTACTCTATTGTTAATAAACAATTTTACATGTATAAGAGCCTTAGTACACCATATTGAATAAATTAAAATATAGTATGATACATTTAAAACAACGCCGTCACCGAACTTCATTTTTTTATTATCAAGGAAAGAAACAGTATTTGTTTATATATATTTGTAATTATTCATTTTTGATAAAATAATAGTTTAATTATTTAAAAAAATAAATAATAAAAATCCTAGCACAAGGGGGACGACGACAGTGGTGACGTGGCATAGTTGGATCAAGTATAATGATATCTGACAATGATAAAAATCACTATAAAAAAAAACGCTTCGATGCAAATCTTTAGATAGTGTTTAGTTTTAAAAAATTGGTGGATTATTCCAAAAGCTACATGATCTGATATTTCCTTATAAATATCTTGATTAAGATAAAGTATGACGAATGAAATATGTATATAAGTACTACTTTTCATGAAAAAATTTTATTGATCCATACATTTTTGAAAAAGTTATAGCATTTTAAAGTAAAGAATGTAAAATATGAAATCGAGAATTTACACACAACAATTGCATTCGGTATCCATTTTCACCATGAAGACAAAATAGAATCCAAATTTTTTTCTTCAATATTAAAGTACATTACATTAGCTTTAATTTAAAATATATATAAAAGTGTCAGACTTTCCGGAACACTTTCAAAAGTTAAGTTGAAAAAGTTGTCATTTTAAATCTCCCCTGTGGGCAGATAAAGGGTCAAATTTATAAAAAAAATATATCAAATAATAGTTAAAAACATCAAGCATCTATAAAAAAAAATTATTTTGATTTGTTCAATTTTGAAAAAGTTATGGCAGTTTAAGTAAAAAAATTGAAATATTACGAAAATTAGGGATTTTTAAATTTGTTTTTTTTTTTGAGATTTCCCCCATTTACGGGGAAGGAGGGATTTTTTTTCAATTTTTGAGGGTAATGCCTTTGACTAGATACAATTTGTGATCTTTTGACGTATCGTTGAAAGAAATCCGTTCGGTGAGAGCTGAGAAAAAGTGGTAACAGACACAAAAAAAAAAAACATCATAGTAAAACTAATACCTTCTCAGCTTCGCATCCTAGCTAATAAAATTAGGGACATATGCTTAACTTTTTAGAAAAGATAAGAATTATTTTATCTTGTATAACTCCATGTTTATTTATTTTTGGTTTTGTTATAAAATTAAATGCATCTTAGAAAATACTTACTGATGTAAAATAATATTCTAATAAAAAGTAAACGCCTATTCGAATATAATTTTAAAACAGAGGTAAATTTCTTATATTTATCTAATTAAAATATTATATATATATATATATATTTATATATATATATACTATGTTTAAATTTTTATACAATGATAAATAAAATTATTATACATATTTTTCATATATGTTTATTTCTAAGTAAACTAATTTATTTTATTATTTTAAGAACAATTTAAATGCTGATTATATTTGTTTTTAATTTAAGATCAAATACTAAATATTTTTTTTATAAATGTATGGTATTAAAATTAATATGTGAATTTCAACTAAGTTTTATTTTATCAGATTTAGTTTTCGTGTTTTGTAATGTTCCAGCTCGATCTTAAATTTATTTTAATTAATGTTTCTGTTTGATTTAGCATTATCTAAATTTTTGTTTAAACCAATCCAGATAATTTTTAGCTTCCATGCGAATCTGAGAAGGTATTAACTTTACTATGATGTGTTTTTTTTTGTGTCTGTTATCACTTTTTCTCAGCTCTCACCAAACGGATTTCTTTCAATGACACGTTAAAAGATTTTTATAAATCTGACTTTTTACCTGGTCACAGGGAGGGTTGGGTTTAAAATAACAACTTTCTTACAAAAAATTAATTTTTTCAACTTAACTTTTGAAAATGTTCCGGCAGGTCTGACACTTTTATATATATCTTAAATTAAAGCTTATGTCATTTACTTTGTAATGATAAAAAAAAATTTCGGACTTTATTTTATCTTCACGGTGAAAATGGCTACCGAATGCTATTATTGTGTGAAAATTCTCGATTTTATTTTTTACATTTTTAACTTTATAATGCTATGACATATTGAAAAGTGTATGGATCAACATTATTTTTTTATGAGAAATAATATTTTTTAATAATCCCTCTTTCGTTCGACATACTTTATCTTAATCAAGATATTAATAAGGAACTAGCAGATCATGTAGCTTTTGGAATAGTCCACCAATTTTTTAAAATTAAACAGTATCTAAAGATTTGCATCGAATCGTTTTTTTTTGATAGTGATTTTAATCACTGTCAGATATCATTATACTTGATCCATTTATGCCACGTCACCACTGTGCCACGACCCCCCTGTACTGGGTTTTTTTCTTTAATAATCATTATTTGAAATTTTTTATTTGGTTCGGTTCAATTATTATTTCATGTAATAGTTTTGTCTGGTCTTTTTATTATTAATTTTTCAGAACGGTTCGGTCTATGCTTTAAAAATTTGAACCAAACATAGATCTATTATAACCTATTTAAGTTTTAATATTATTTCTATTCTAGCGTTAAGGATGTACTTTCATGTAAGTTAACAATAAGTTTGTCTCACTAGTGAAAATAGTGGATGGATTTATTAAATTGGGGGGTTATCCTCCCAAATTAATTATTGTCTATTTGTTTTTTGGTGTATTTATGCTTTGTGGGGTGATAAATTATTAAATAACCTTCCTTGTCCATATCATACTTTAATTATGTTGTTAGTAGTCATAATATTTTTCTAGTAACGTAAGTACCATCTTCAATTCTATTTAGAGTTCACCATTATCCGTATTTATTTGTTCAATCCTTTAACAACTAAAAATTAAACCATTTAAATAATCGTACTTAAACCGAACGACTGATTACACAAATACTTTATAATTGTATAAAATAATTTGGACAATGAGAGTAAACCTGTATTTCATTTCAATTGACAAAAAACTTATTTTACAACACCCTGTTAAAAAAAGGTGATCTAATTTAACTTTTAAAGTTGTAAACATCTGCTGTTTGCTATTATTCTTTTATAATAATTTTATTTGTTGAACAAGGAGTGAAAAACAAACGTAGCTTGCCAATGAAATAAAATTAGTTTAAATGTTTGTGATTTTTAGATTTTATGACGTGTAGATACTAAAATATCCGGTAAATGGGAATAATGTATAATAAATTATTTTTAATTATCTAACTAGTATTGCTCATTTTTCTAAATTTAAATGTATGATAATATAATAATTAAATATAATTTAATATTAAAAAAAAGATAGAATGACGATGTTTATGAGATTATAATATAGAGTACATAATAAGTTACCCAGGGACATAAGTGTAAATTATTCATGGAGGATTTTGGATGCTTAATTCACCCCCAATTAATTTTGATATAATATTTGATCATTACATGCAAACAAATTTTTATCAGGAGGATGAACCTAAACCTACCACCTACTCTAGTGTAACCCAATTGGGTTAAAGATGAATATAATGTAACTTATTAGTTATAACACGACATGTTGTCTAAACTAAAATTATTAGTTCTTAAAGTAATTCAATAAGATTTTGAAGATAATTTAGTACTTTTTTCTAAAAATCGAATTAGTGTTAATTAGACTTGTCATTTCATCATAGATAAAGTACTATTTAATACTTTTTAATACGCATAAGCAATTACAAGTACTTATATTTTAATCATTATAGAAAAAAAAATATCATAATTTTTAGTTGTTATTTTGTATTAATTTTTTCAACTTAACTTTTGAAAATGTTCCGGCAGGTCTGACACTTTTATATATATCTTAAATTAAAGCTTATGTCATTTACTTTGTAATGATAAAAAAAAATTTCGGACTTTATTTTATTTTCACGGTGAAAATGGCTACCAAATGCTATTTTTGTGTGAAAAATCTCTATTTCATTTTTTATATT